GTGAAACTCCTTTCGCGGCACCCTCACCTGCGGCGTTTGTGTGTGGGTATGTTTTTATGTAAGTGCTGTTTGGTGAAACTCGTTTGGCCGCACCCACACCGGCGGCGATTGTCTGTGAGTGTGCATTTGTGTTAATGACTATCGATGGAACTCCTTTTGCATCATTCTCACCTGCTGCAATGATATGTTTGCGAAAGGTTAAGGAATCATGATTGTTTAAAGCGTTTTCGGATTGAAAGCTGAGAGTGGAAAATTCGAATTGGATGGTATGGATATGGGTGTTAGTATGAATAAATGACCCACACTCTCAGGAGAAAAAAGCTCTATTTTTCACAAGAACTGTTAAAAATAAAGCGACTTGTAGTTTCGCGTACAGTATCCATAGCTTCTGAATAATTGAAGCCAAGAATCATAGTGTTGCACAGTTTTATGAATCTTCAACTGTTGCTTTCCATAAATATTAAATAGTTGAGAACTGCTTGTATTCTGCTATGAAAAACGTTGTTCCAGAAAACGTTAAATTGAATACTTCAGAAAAACCAAGTCGAAAGTATATAACGTATGATTCCATGCGTCTTAATTTCCTCTTTCCAATGGTGAAAACCGCACCTCTCAATCTTCTTCCTTTCAAAAGTTACATGAAAAATACGAGTTGCAGTCATATTGTTGTTGGTAGTATCTCTGCTATACCTCTTATACCTCCTACACCTTCTACACCTCCTATACCTGTTATACCTCCTATACCTCCTATATCTCCTATACCTCCTATACCTCCTGTACCTCTTATACGTCCTATACCTCTTATACCTCCTATACCTCCTATACCTCCTATACTTCTTATACCTCCTATACCTCCTATACCTCCTATACCTCTTATACCGCCTATACCTCCTATACCTCCTATACCTCTATACCTCCTATACCTATATATCTATCTACCTCTTACCCATAGGACATAATCGAGTTTCCGGGGATACTCTCAGAAGACATCATATGAGATCGTTAGAATTTGAAAATGCGTTTAAACGCGTTAATTATGCGCACTTTTAACGCGTTTTCATGATCAAAATTGTAACATTTTTAATCGTTAAATCGTTAAACTTTTAACGAATTTTCACGTCACAAAGTTTCGTTAAATTAGCAAAACTTTTTACATGGGTATGATGCGAAAACTATCATAGGAGTTACCTTAAATAATTTTATCGATTACAAAAAAGGAAAATAGTGTGAGAGTTTTGATTTTTTTTCTCGCTTAATTGTAGAGACACTGACACGCATTTGTTATTATAAGGGTAATTAAGTTCTTCTGGATATGTTCAGTGGATACCAGATATTTCTTTGTTTATTTATTAAGCATTATATAAAAGCGTGAGTGTGAATTCAAAATAATGCTCAAATCTTATAGCCAAACTCGCATATCTATTAAAACGCGTCAATTCAAATCAAATGATGATGACATTAATACTCTGCTAAACTTGTATCAGTAGAAAGATACTGCAATATGTACACACTAAGTTAAAATGCGTCGCATGTGTCGTGATTTGCGACACATTGTACGACACATTAAAGTACGACACAAGGAGCTCACTGCGACACATTTTCTCCAGCAAGACCACCACACATTTCGTACGACACATGCGACACATTTTCTATTGGTTCTTTTGGAGAATCATATTTCCATTTTTTTTCAATTTAATTCCATTCAATTATTCCTATTCTGGAAACTCAAGCAGGACAGATCCTGGGATCTGTCTGATCTCGAGTTGGTCCGATTTGCATCAGACCGCTTCAGGGTAGTCCTTTCTCGATCATGGATCGAGATTAGCATGTTCTTGATAAAAAATGTGCGAGAAATAATTTAGAAAAAAAGAATATTTGGAAAATTTATCTTTCATACATTCAGTCGCGTTGTTTATATATCGCTGTATGTGCATAACAAAACGGGGAACTAATAGTCAGCAGACAGAACGCGACAAATTTGTATACGACACATTCTAAGCACGACACATTTTTGTGCTGGAGTGCACGGCACAATAATTCACGACACATAAACACGACACATTTAAATTTAGTGTGTATGAAAATGGACATGCGACAAAAACTTGATGATTCGATGACAAATCTTAGTTAATGTGGAATCTACAAGAAACATTGAGCAGACCGCTTTAAGTTGAATCTACTCCTTGATTTTTTTACAAATTTGATTGAAAAGTTCATTGGCATT